AACCGTTTTTTTAAAGTTTTTTTCTACCCCCCCGTTATCGCTAATCCTGTCGTCTGTCCCCCTGTCACCTCCTACGCTCGCCTGACAAACGATGTTGTTCGTCCCTAGGCTCTCTCTTCGTTGTTCTCTCACGGTAGGAAAGCAGAGATCGCCCCTCATTATTGTCTGCTGCAATAGTTCCCTTGCGACACCTCATCCCCTGGCAGCACCAACCAGCTGCCGCACTTTACTTAGGATAACGGCGAGAACAGTACGTCGACGTTTATTACCAGATAGGCATCAAGCGACGGAGTGGAAAGACAACGGAGTGGAAGAATAACGGCAAAACCTGCGGCCGTGAGTGCGACAGTCGCGAGCCTGTATTATACTTACACCGGCAACTCTCCGATTGCGTACTCGGTGAGGTGATTACACGTACGGGTCCGGTGTCTCAGGACCCGCGGCAGCCTGCCACAAGGCCAAACGATGGCTGCCACAGGATGCATGTTGGAGTATAGTCGCACCTATTTACATGCACTCACGTTTACTCACTGTAAGTAAGCCATATGCTTGCTAAATTATTCCATGACGTAATTCGCTAAGTATGTGCGTCTGCAGACGCACGCCGATCCCGGTTACCCTGATCGCCCTTGCGTAAATGCCGAGTTAAACACAGTTTTATTAGATTGCTAGCAGAATGTAAATGTGTTGTGAAGCACTTACCAAACTTGACGAATGGCACGTGACTGTCGTGGATTATGGCGAATGCTGAAAAAATAATTCCATAGACCCAGGGGCGTGTACAGGATTTGTACCAGGGGGGGGGGGTCTAACCGTAACTCAAACTTGCGAGCACGCGAAGGAGGGGTCTGGGGGGCTCTCCTCCAGAATTTTTTTGAAATTAGACCCCCTTAGATGCGTTTTCTGCGCGAACAGGGGGGGGGTCCGGACCCCCTAGACCCCCCCCCCCCTGTACACGCCCCTGACACGTGTGTGCGTTGGTCTGTGCATTTCGTGTATATCGGTTACATCTCTACGGAGTTCTTCGATGGTGTGATTATCATCTATCTACACGCAGCGGCTAAAAATGTTTTGCAGCAGTAAGCTATAAGGCGTCAAAAGGCACCCTATCACCCTCACCGCACCAGCAGATTATTACCCTCACCCCACCAGCAGATTATTACCCTCACCGCACCAGCAGATTATTACCCTCACCACACCAGCAGATTATTAGGCCTACCTTCACCCCACCCTCGTGTGCGCAGTCACAACCAAGGTCACACAAAAATTCCGTTCACGTTAACTCTGAATTTTAATGAACGGTGTTGAGTAGATAAGACATTATTTAAATAGACAAGTTTACGTGGTTTGAAGAAGTAAAATGCCCATTTAATATACAACGGTGACCATGCAGTTGAAACAAACGCACATCTTTGCGTGGGTGCATTTGATTTCTCCATGTGTTAAACTGTCTTCCGAAGAAGACAGTCTTCGTGCCTGAGCTTGGAGGTTTACTTTGGACGAGTTTTTAATATTCGCCATTAAAATGTGTGAAAAATTGTCCGTTAAGGCACCCGGTGAGATTCCTGCTGAGCACGGAGCGTGAGGTTCGTGCTCCGCAGGAACCTCACCTTGTGCGGGGTCGATTTCACTGAGTTTTCGGTCTCGCGAGGTGGTGAGGAAAATATCTGCCGTGTTTGATAATTTTGGTCTCGCAAAGCTGAAAACTCTGAAGCCGAACACTGAAGCGTGTGTAGGGGTGTGTAGCGGTGTGTAGCGGTGGTCGCGGTGGTAGGGATGTGTAGGGGTGTGTAGCGTGTGTAGGGGTGTAGTGGGGGGGGGGGGGGGGTCGCGAAAAGGACTCGGGATGTCGAATTTGGGGGGGGGGGGGGGGTGAGGTTCCTGCTGAGCACGAAACTCACGCTGCGTGCTCAGCACGAATCTCACCATGTGCGGGGCCTTTACTCTCGCACTCACTCGCTCGCGTGCGTGCTCTCTATCACCCCCTCTCTCTTTGTTTATGAATTTAACTATTCGTAGAACGAGTAAATTTAATAGCTAAGCAATAATTCTTCTAAAACATCAATATGTGCAGGAAATGTTCCTAAGAAGGCCTGAATCTGTAAGCTGCACAAAATATCGACATTGTTTAATAGCATCAGTGTCTATTTTGCAATAAACATCAGTGGTTTAGATTTTTCCTACATATCTCAGTGTAATTTGGAAAATAGTCACAAATGCTTTATTATTTACATGAAAGCCTCATATTATATTATATAATTTGTAGGCGGGTATAAATTATTTAGATGCCGTTAAATGGTACCAGAAGCGTATAATGACAAATTATTCATATATTAGACAAATTAGACATATTTGTCATTATACGCTCCTGATGGTACGAATACTCTTTGCATTTTATTTTCTACAATTGTACTGCAGCTTTTGATTAGTTAGCACTGCACGATATGATATATGGTTGAGATATCTAGGTATAATTGAGTGATTTCCGTCTTCGATATAGTTCCTTGGACTTTAAAGACAATTATTTACGTGGTTACGAGGTTACGAGGCGTTTCGGAGTCGAGGATAATAGCGTAGGTAGGGTAGTGCTGCCATCTAACGAACAAATATTATAAAAATTGCACCAGAGCAGACGCTAAGCTGTACACAATAACGTTATTATGTTATCAGGAGTGATTAATAATAGATATATATTATTATTCACTCCTGATGTTATGATGTTATCATATAGGTCTCAGAGAGAGCAGATTGCAGAAATACCATGCATTACGACATCCCGGATTACGTAAACTCTCCTGTACGTAATTTGTAATTTATGGCCACTTTACTCGCGGTACAAAACAAAAATTCAATCACACGTAATTTTCAAAAAACAAATGGAAAGAAAGAGTTGAGAGTTTGAGTTCCCTACTTAAAAAGTGGGGTGCTCAATCGCCGTAAATAAATTTATGTACTCGTAATGAATATGCAGCTAGCTGTTAACACGTCGGGCACGTCCTCTATTATACGTGTAACATACCGCTATCCCATTAGACAGTTTACGGGCGCGCGTTTCTGCAATCAGCCCCTTATCCTTGCGCCCAGTATACACTAGGTACATGTTAATTGTTTCAAGAGCAGTTATAGTTATTCACAGAAACGTGTTCTTTCAATCGTATATAACGTTCGGATTTATCATGTATAGTATTCGGTTGCCCGAGACCTAACAGTAATACTGATTGAACGCGAAGAATGTTATTATACAATGCGAACAGAATCACGACGCAAACCGAACGGATATGACTTGGCAGGCTAAAACCATCCCAATCCAGGAAATTATCAGTTACTCGTCGGAGAAAGATCTATAAAAAATTTGCAGTCAACCGTCATCTGTAGCGCTGCGCTCGTCGAAGTAACTTACGAAAACAAACAGTAAAATCGCGTAAGGTATAGAAAGACAGAAGGCTGGTTTATCTGTACATGTGATATAAAACAGTATATGTAGTTATATTTATAGCAATTGTATCCTGCAAAAACGCTAATGTTGTCATTACAAATCTTTAAATCTGAAAAATGTTGGCTCTCACAGATTTTAAACACCTCGCCGGTGGCCGGCCGAGAAAACCATCCCCGGTGCCACCCCTGCCAGTTGGTAACAGTGCCTCTACTTCTCCCTCCTAGTAATTCTAGTTTTGAACTTTTTTCCCCCTAATATTAGGTACCAGGATACCGTTTTACATTCATACATAATCAATACATGCGTTAAACAATGTTTACTTGCATTCATGATTTTCCTTTTATACATCTTATAGGTGAGAGATCTTCCATGGGAACAGCTATCCAATTCTATGATGATAGCCAATACAAAATGTGATTCATTGCGTCATAAACGTTTTTCTCTAGAATGCACTAATTACGTAACGTGGACTATTAGTGTATATCAGTTTTGATATTCCTTTCCTATCGGCACCCAAAATAGCGATCAGATTCATGCATGTCTAAAGCATGGGTCCGGTTTCAAATAATATGGAATAATAATATAATAATATATAATAATATAATTATAATATATATTATAATATTATATAATAATATAATATATGGAATAATATGGGGCTCTAGGAGCACATGCGTTGGTTATTTGGATATTTGTTATCGTATTAGTTAGTAAATAATTAGATGGCCCTAAATCAACCCTCTAGCAACGTGAATTTTTTTGCCACATAATTGAAGTCGCCAAGGTAGGCCTTAATATTTTGTACATCAACTTTTTTTATTAATTGAATTATTTATTTAGTAATTAATTAATTAATTTATTATTCAATCTATTTTTTTTATCGATATTGTATTTCGCTTGTATTTCGAGTGTATGTAATATATGTATGCGAAGTTTGGTATTTGTGAATCTTGACACAACTCGGTCGGCTCGTAATGGTCAAGGTGACGATCACTGTTAGATGTGAGCATATCAATATTAAATATATTATACTTCTAGGATTAAAATTATTAAAGTGCAAATTAGTATGCGAATCGTTTTACGTTTATTTATCCCAGTTATTTCCACATATATATCTATGTGTGCATTTTATGTAGTTTCTTCACAACCTAATCGTAATATTTTATTTATTCTATATCATAGTAGTGTATAATAACACATTTAAACTTTATTTGACATGCTTGTGCACAAATGACAAAACACGCGCTAGATGTTTATTATTAGATACCAAAAGATCATTTGTTCTTCATGACATCAACATTATGTAATGTATTTGCTTTTTAATTCATTTATGTACAATCGATTATCTTCTTTGGAGTTCTCAATACGGCTATTTATACACACAATATTTAATAGGTCAAACATCAATTCAACAACGCTCTTTTGTGCAGCTTATGCCGTCAGTTTCTTGTGATACTAACCTAAGAATATCTGCAGGGCATTTATTCCCGGAGCCGCGATAAAGAGCGCGCGACCAGCCAGGCATGTTATCGTCAGTCTACTCGATGCGTAACTGCAGACGGAACAGAACGTCAATATTAACGGGAACAGTCACAAGTGTCGTGATCGTGGTCACCTCCTCCCTCCTGTATTCCCTCATACTGATCCGGGTATGGAAAGGGCACCGGGAGGAGACGTAGTGTAGCTATTAGCTGGACACGTGAGGAAGCATGCTTGCTATGATGGAATCACCAGGCAGTAAACGCAGAACACGATGGTATCACATTGACAGCCAGGTAAGCTGATTTTATACTTGCTTATTGTTATATCAAAATATATATGCAAGACATGTATATATATATAATAGATATGTATATGGGCTTTAATATCATCTATGCGGCAACTCGATTGTTCGTAGTAACGTGTATGTAGACACGCTCAGCATATAGGTGCATAGGGATACCCGGCTATGCGTACATGAAGGATTGCGTGCGTGCATTCATGCATTCGTGCGTTCACCCGATCATGAGGGACGTAGGGAGAGAAAGCTGGACCAAATAGTACACTATGAGTATGAGTAGGGCGAAGTGACTTTAGTAGTCTATGTTTTCCAGGAATCCGGAATCCAGAATTGTTTTGACGATATTTGAACGGTTAAATCGCCAGCGTGTGCATGTAAGCGTGACAGCCACAACCGGCTACTCCCCCTCCCACAAGCGTGTGTCCGTACGTGTGTGTGTGAGGGGATGCGTATGTGTGCGCGCGTGCGCGCGTGCGTGCGTGTATTAGCGTGCTCGTGTATGTTTTGTATGTGTGTGGTATGTGTAGGTAGACGTTGACAGTTCGTTTCGTATCTAGAACAAGGTTGCTTGAGTGGCTCGACTCCAAATTCCATTACTTAGCGCCCCGGGGTGCCTTCTCTACAATAGTACAAACCTTCACGATATTATTTATAACCTTTTATTTGGTCCACGGGTACATCCGTGTGTCTGTGTGTCTGTCTCGCTCTCTCCCTCTCTCCCTCTCTCTCTCTCCCCTCCCCCCCTCTCTCTCTCTATCTGTGTGTGGTGGGGGGGCGTGCGCGTGCGCGTGTGTGTGTACGTGTGTGTGTGTGTGTGTGTGTGTGTGTGTGTGTGTGTGTGTGTGTGTGGTGGGGGGGCGTGCATGCGTGCGTTCGTGCGCGCGCGTGTGTGTGTGTGATGGGGGTACTCTTTGTAAAA